TTCTGTTAAACACAACTATGTTGTTTTGGTAGGACTACATATCACTTTAACCTGTAGATGTAAAATATATACTGTGTTTCAAAGACTTAGCACCAAAAAAGAAAGTAGACTATCTCATTAATAATTTTTATATTGATTCCATGTTGAAATAATATTTTGAATATATTGGGTTAAATAAAATAATTATTAAAATTAATTTCTCTTCTTTCTTTTAAAATTTTTTATGTGTCTACTAGAAAATATAATGTGACATGCTCTCATTACCTTTCTATTGGACAGCGCTGCTTTATGGGATATTCTTTTTCTTTTGGTTTGGCAACCAAATTCAGTTGCTGTGGTAACTAAAGGGGCCTCTGGCTCTGCCTTTCTTGGAAGTCAAGGGTGAGTTGGGGCCGGGCGAGGTGGCTCACGCCTGTAATCCTAGCATTCTGGGAGGCCGAGGCGGGAGGATTGCTCAAGGTCAGGAGTTCAAAACCAGCCTGAGCAAGAGCAAGACCCGTCTCTACTATAAATACAAAGAAATTAATTGGCCAACTAATATATATAGAAAAAATTAGCCGGGCATGGTGGCGCATGCCTGTAGTCTCAGCTACTTGGGAGGCTGAGGCAGGAGGATTGCTTGTGCCCAGGAGTTTGAGGTTGCTGTGAGCTAGGCTGATGCCATGGCACTCACTCTAACCTGGGCACCAAAGGGAGACTCTGTCTCAAAAAAAAAAAAAAAAAGGGTGAGTTGGGGAAGGGGAAGTATCAGATCAGATTTAGAAAATATCTTCATTTAAGAAACAGAGACAAAGTAATCTGGTTTGTTTCAGTAACATCAATTTGGATTCTAGGCCCTCAACCAAAAACCCTAACAGAAAATGCACTTCCTCCAGCTCACCGTGGAGAAAAGTTGTATCTATTTACCCATCTTCCTTCATCCCACCCCACTCCAGTAGCAGACATTAGAACTACAATAGTTGATACTTCCCCTCCAATAAACCCTTGATATTATTTCCCAATTACCCAACATTTTAAATACAGACTACATTGTTTTGCTTTGTTTACTCTCACAGTGGAGCTACTTTTCTCTCTCCCTCATTAACCTTTGTCTTTGTCAGCTCCTATTTTTCTTATTTTGTTTTCCTACTTACCTTATTCGTTTTTTTTTTTTTACATAATTTAGTAATCAGATATCTATCTACCTCACATTTTTCTTTTTTCTTTTTTTTTTTTGAGACAGAGTCTCACTCTGTTGCCCAGGCTAGAGTGAGTGAGTGCCATGGCGTCAGCCTAGCTCACAGCAACGTCAAACTCCTGGGCTCAAGCAATCCTCCTGCCTCAGCCTCCTGAGTAGCTGGGACTACAGGCATGCGCCACCATGCCCGACTAGTTTTTTCTATATATATTAGTTTGCCAATTAATTTGTTTCTATTTATAGTAGAGACGGGTCTCGCTCTTGCTCAGGTTGGTTTCGAACTCAAACGATCCACCCGCCTCCGCCTCCCAGAGAGCTAGGATTACGGGTGTGAGCCACCGCACCAGGCCTTCACATTTTTCTTTCAAGAAACTCATAGTCTGGGCGGGGCCTGGGGGCTCATGCCTGTAATCCTAGCACTCTGGGAGGCTGAGGCGGGAGGATTGCTTGAGCACAGGAGTTCTAGACCAGCCTGAGCAAGAGCGAGACCCTGTCTCTACTAACAATAGAAAGAAATTAATTGGCCAACTAAAAATATAGAGGAAAAACTTAGCTGGGCATGGTGGTGCATGCCTGTAGTCCCAGCTACTCAGGAGGCTGAGGCAGGAGGATTGCCTGAGCCCAGGAGTTTGAGGTTGCTGTGAGCTAGGCTGATGTCACAGAACTCTAGCCTGGACAGTAGAGTGAGACTGTATCTCAAAAAGAAAAAGAAAAATAATAAAAAAGGAAACTCATAGTCTGAAACTAATAGGATATTAATAATCCTTCCCAGTGTGTGAGAATCAGTTACCCTTTTTTATTTTTTAAATAGAAGAAGAGAAACACTATAAATTCCTCATGGCTCAAAATCTGCTACATAGCAAGTGCTCAGTAAATACCTGTTTAATTGAATTGGATATTTTTTGTGTTTCTATAAGCCTGAGATAGCGGCAAAGCAATGCAGAATTCAAAGTGGGCAGTATGGTGGATGCCATAAGGAATTTGGATTGTATCCATAGGTGTTGATCCGCTCCTTCCTGCTGCCAGGGTTAGTCTGGCTCCTAGAAAACCAGGCGTCCTATCCCCCAGGTGAGATTTTGCTAATCAGAGGACAAGTAAAGCCAAAAACTGGACAAATTCTTCCCAGGATTTTCTTATCGTCCTTCCTTTCCCTTTAAGATTGCAGACCCTATCTACAATAAAAAAGCAGCTGATAAATTCATAGGATTATGAATTCTTTCTGCTAACATCAAACAACCTTAAAGGGGTGATAGTAGCACCCACTTGAACTTTTCTTTTACAGGAATATTTCTTCTCTTTTCTCTGCAGATTTAATTAATCCCGAGCTGATGTCAGAGCAAAAATTTGTGTATTTGCCCTCCCACAAGGCTTTTCTGCTGGTTTTTTGTCTGTGAAACTAAGATGCCGTAGCTGCTATACAGGAGGGACGGGGCATAAAAGATGAGCTTAAAAAAAACAACAGCAGGGGGTGGAGTGACAGGATGTGGTTTTAAAAAGAGGGAGGGCATTATTGCCTTAGGGTGATAACCAGGGGGGCTGGGGGGAGGGGAGTTCTGAAATTCTGATAACGCAAAATTCCCAGTGGTCACGAGGATTACTGGGCGGGTGTAGGGTGGGGCTGGGGGCTTGTCGCCCTTCTAGGCTCCACCCTTTGCAGAGATTATAACTAGCGTGACCGTGGCCAGAGGCAGAGATGCTGTAGTGGTGAGAGGGGGTTTCAGAGCAATTCTGAGGACCTGAAGAAAACTTGCTACCGAGAAGGACATTTTGAAGGTTTTGTTGGTTGGAAGAGTTATCTCTGGAATCCCACTTCCAGATCTTTCTCGAAGATTTGAAAAGAATTAGGTTAGGGGCATGGGGACACAGAAGGTAAGAACGTTATAATTTCTGGTTATTTTTGCTTGTTTGGGGCAAACTCACAAAGGCAAATCTTGACGGTGATTGCTTTGTTCTATTTTCTCCTGATTCACCAAAGCCATCTCAAGGCCTTTTCATTTCTTCTCCAGCCTGCAGTGCTCTAGTTTCACTGGTTCTCTTTGAATGTCATATTTGATGAAGGATTTATCCCTGTTCTATTCACCTTCCTATCATAGTAAAGTCACCTGGAGAAGTTGTGTTTACTTCTCAGGTTTATTTTCATAACTATACACTACTGAGGCCGAGGGATGGTTGAGTGTTCAAAGGATCAGGGGCTGCTTGATTCTGTGGATTACAAATGTGGGCTCCAGAGCCAGTGTGAAGACTTCTGGAAGCATTGAAAGGACCTGGGGTCTGTTTGGGGTGCAGGCCAATGTCCTGCCATCTGTTCTGTATCCTGTAGGATTCCCTGGATACTAAGGAGAGAGAATTCCAGTTGTCCTTCCTGCTGTGGTCATGATTGTGAGTGCAGGATATATAAATATATTTTTAATGTGTTGTGTATGCAGTATTTGTAGGGAGAAAGGCATTTTCACCTGGACAAATTTGTTTGAAAATGAAGGAAAATAGGGAAATGATGGGGAAAAAATGAGACTGGAATGTAAAAGGTCCTCCAAGACAGTGAATGATGAAAGGAGAAAGCTTTTTTTTATTAAAAAGGGAATGGATTTAACTGGAAGGGCTTTGTACTGGCAGGACTCTGGGGTGCTGATGCTTAGCTGGGACTGAGAAAGCCCCAAGGCCAGCCGGGAGGCGGAAGGCAAGGTCAGGTCAGCTCCCGCTCCACACTGCTCTCCCGGCTGACCTGAAAGGAAAGGATTTGTGTTAGGAAAGACCGAAGGGAATGGCCTCAGGCATAGAAATTGAGCTGCCCCTAGGTAGAAAGCTAAAATAATACCCACTTGTCCATTTGAATTATTCCCAGCTAGGTGAGAGGTGACATTTTGATTCCCCCCACTAAGAAATGTCTCCTGTATGTCAGTTTGGGATTATGCAGAGTGTCCCCACACACACACCCACACCCGGGGTGGGGATAGCAGAACAGTATTTGGTAAACGGGCCTTTCAAAATTTGGCCAGGATGCAGTGGGTAGATAGTGTAGGTTACATGGTTCTGAGAGATAACAGCCTCAAAGACAACGCATACCACTGCTACTACTCCAGCTTCAGCGAGACTACACTGCATCTGGCTGTTACCAAAAGAATCAGTTCTTAGGAATCCTACTTAAAGCTGTCTTTTCTTCTGCCCTCCCAGTTCTGTTTTTTTTTTTTTTTTTAAGAGAGTCTCTCACTCTGTTGTTGCCCTGCATAGAGTGTCCTGGTTCCAGTTTAGCTAATGGCAACCTCAAACCCCTGGGCTCAAGCGATCCTCCTGCTTCAGTCTCCCAAGTAGCTGGGACTACAGGCATGTGCTACTAAATCCGGCTAATTATTTTTTATATATATTTTTAGTTGTTCCGCCAACCAAATTTCTTCCTATTGCTTCAGGCTGGTCTCATTCCTGAGCTCAAGCAATCCTTGGGCCTCAGCCTCCCAGAGTGCTAGGATTATAGGCGTGAGCTACCACATTTGGCCCCTCCCAGTTCTTGAGCACTGTTCTGTGCTTATCTTTACCTGGTGCAGGTTATAAATGCTTCCAAACTGACTAACCCAGTTTCTCTTCTTCCTTACCTAATTTTCTTGCCATTTTCCCCAAGTTAACCCCACGTTCTTATCTCCAGATGAGTTCTTCGGTATAATCTATACCTTTTATGTTCCCCATTCATTACCTAAATGTCCTAAGATTTTTGTCTGTTTCATACCACTCATAGGTCAAATTCCTAATACAGTTTCTTAATAAGAAGACAATAATCCTCAAAAGTTTTAAGGATTGTTTTTTCTTTCCTCTCTGTCCTGCCCTCCCTCAGGTCACCCCATCTCTGATCTTCGCCATTGCCATTGCTACAATCGGCTCTTTCCAGTTCGGCTATAACACTGGAGTCATCAATGCTCCTGAGACGGTAAGTGTCAGGCAGTAAGAGTTAGAATTTGGCATAAGGATGTTACTCCTTTCATCTAAGTAGGATTTAAAGAATTCGGAATTTAAGACAAACTTTGTATCTAGGTTGGCTAAAATGGACGAGGGAGAATATTGGTGGGGAAGTCTAGTGGAGTCATCTAATCCAAGCAGAAGGCTCATTTGCTGCCGTGCTCTGGCCCATACCAGTTCTTACTCTCCTTCCTTCCGCATAGTGATACACTTCCTATATTATCCCTTAGGGGTTAGTAACAAAGGAGGGTGCTCTTAGGAAAGGGCTGGGGTAGACAATGAACATCAGTGCTGCCACCTACTGGGGCTTTCAGGACTAAGAAAAATGGGTCTTCTGAGATAGTAATATTAACTCCAGTATGTCATCTGCCTCTTGAATCGCTATCTAGTCATGCCTTTGATCCTCTACCTGTAAAGTAAAGGTAAAGTTGGTCTCTCAGGGAGGAAACAATCCCTAATGTTTGTATTTTTTGTTTTCATCCAGCTGTTAATAGCCTGTCCTCCACCCATTTTATATTGCAGATTATAAAGGACTTTCTCAATTACACTTTGGAAGAGAGGCTAGAAGACCTTCCGACAGAAGGGTTGCTCACATCCCTCTGGTCCTTGTCTGTGGCCATCTTCTCCGTTGGTGGTATGATTGGCTCCTTTTCCGTTGGACTCTTTGTCAACCGCTTTGGCAGGTATTGACCAAGAAGTGGGCTACACTGGTTGCACTGAGGGCAGATATAGAGAATTAGGACAGGGAGGTGGTGGTACATTTGAATGAGAACACTTCAAATTCTAATCAAAGGAAACCTAGTCCAACTGGCCAAGTATGACTGTTCTTACTTGGAGCTCTGCTACCCTGCATAGCTCTGCCAGCCTTGCAAAAGGTGAGCCATGTGAATTTTTGTTATTTGCAGTCTTGCTTAGGCTACTTCAGTTATTTTCTAGTAAGCTCCAACTGTTGTGGAGTTTCCCACAAACATATTTAATTCAGAAGGTCTGAAGTTGTTTACTTTTCTGAAAAATGTTGGGTTGAGTTAAAATGTTGGGTTTCATACAAGTGTTATCATTATTTTATACAAGATTGGTAGGAAATATTTTTGTAATTCTTGGTCTGTGGCAAATGTGGATGATATTCAAATAACTGAATTGAATTCTTTTCCCCAAAAAAGAAAACTGAATCTACTCTAGCTTTCTTTTCATTCTACTCTAGCCTAACCCTTTGCACTTGGATGTTGAGTGTAACACGACACGGTTAGCATCGGTAGCAGCTCACACCGTGAAAAATTATAGAGATTAAAATTACTCTTTGAATGTATCAATAATTTGAAATATAAAAAAATCCAAATAAGTTTGTATGAAAAGAAACTCCAGTTTTTTATTCTACTGCCGTGCTTTGTAAAATCTGGGGTATTTAAAAAATTAAATCCCGAGTAGAATAAAGGAATCGAGAAAAAAGCAAGCGAGTGCAAAGGGTTAATATGTCTTAGAGGGTAGGATATACTTTCAGTAATGACTAAAGAAACCATTTAGTTAGATGTTCTCGAAACATAAATGGAATTCAGGTTTAAAAAATTAATATGGCAACCTATTTTGATAATGTCTATTATTATTGGGGTTTTTGTTTGTTTGCTTTTTGAGACAGAGTCTCACTCTGTTTCCCAGGCTAGAGTGCTGTGGCTGTCAGGCTAGCTCACAGCAACCTCAAACTCCTGGGCTCAAGCGATCCTACTGCCTCAGCCTCCCAAGTAGCTGGGACTACAGGCATGTGCCACCATGCCCAGCTAATTTTTTTTTTTTCTATTTTTGGTAGAGACAGGGTCTCGCTGTTCCTCAGGCTGGTTTTGACCTCTTGGCCTTGAGTAATCCTCCCTCCTCGGCCTCCCAGAATGCTAGGATTACGCATGTGAGCCACTGTGCCTGGCCTATGATTTATGATTAGTTTTTAAAGAGGCAGGGTCTTGTTATATTGCCCAGGCCAGACTTGAGCTCCTGGACTCAAGTGATCCTCCCAATTAGAAATGTTCTGATAATAGAAAGTGAAAAACAGAAAAGTTAGACCAAAAGAGAAGGAGATAGAAGCCTGGAGAAGAGCAGAATGAGGAGGAAGGAAAGGGAGACATTCAGAGCTTACCACATTGCTGATCAAACTTTGTCTTTGATTAATGTTACAGACGCAATTCAATGCTTATTGTGAACCTGTTGGCTCTCGCCGGTGGCTGCCTCATGGGGTTCTCTAAAATAGCTGAGTCATTTGAAATGCTGATCCTGGGCCGCTTGGTTATTGGCATCTTCTGTGGACTCTGCACTGGTTTTGTGCCTATGTACATTGGAGAAGTCTCTCCTACTGCCCTACGGGGTGCCTTTGGCACTCTCAACCAGCTCGGCATTGTCATCGGGATCCTGGTGGCCCAGGTACTGTAGAACTTCTCATGCCTAATGAGTGTTATAGCTTCATGACTCATAGAGAGTTAACATAGGTAAAGTGTATATTCAGTTGCATGTGTAAGTTTCACATATTGTTACTATAGCTCAAAGACAGTACTAAAGAAGCAGGCAGGGTAGAGAAAGGGAAAGAAGCAAAATTTATTTCTTTTCCTGTGGTAAAAAGAAGAGATTTTCTGAATTTTTTTTTTTTTTTTTTGTAACGAACTTGTCTGGCCTATGAAGGTATGGTTTTAATAGCATTATCTTTGGGTTTCTAGATCTTTGGTCTGGAAGTCATCTTGGGGTCTGAAGAGCTATGGCCCGTGCTATTAGGCTTCACCATCATTCCAGCTATCCTACAAAGCGCAGCCCTTCCATTTTGCCCTGAAAGTCCTAGATTCTTGCTCATTAACAGAAAGGAAGAGGAGAGTGCTAAGGAGAGTGAGTATCCTTCACGCTTCACTATAGCGATTGTAGGGTTGTGGTTTGTTTTAAGGATGAGGGTTTGGGGTCTATTTTTTGTTATTCTCTTTCTCTGGCCGTCAGAACCCAAGTGAAGAGTTTTCTGATGACTCTTGAATCAAACTTTCAACCTGTGCAATCCCTAAAAAACGAGGCGAGAAGGTGTGGATTTCACGGATCACCTCATCCCATTTGGCTTCTTCCCAGCTGTCTTATAGGAAAAATGAATTTGGGGCAGCACATTGTCTTTATCCTTTTCTCTTTGTTCTTTTCACCAGTTCTCCAGCAGTTGTGGGGCACTGAGGATGTGGCCCAGGACATCCAGGAGATGAAAGATGAGAGTGACAGGATGGCACAAGAAAAGCGAGTCACTGTGCTGGAGCTCTTTAGAGCACCCAACTACCGACAGCCCATCATCATCTCCATCGTGCTCCAGCTCTCTCAACAGCTCTCTGGAATCAATGCTGTGAGTCAAAGGCCTCCTTTCTTACTTTTGAGTCAAAGGCCTCCTACAGTATTTCACTTAAAGCATTTACCAGGAGTGAGTGGCATTAGCCATGGCTCACCTTATATATACGGAATCTGAAGTCCCTCACAGTGCTTGCCATATAGTAACCACTCAGAAAATGTTGATTATCTAGGTTTTGATTGGCTTTTATTTTTTATTTCTTAAAACTATATAGTATATATTGTACATAAAAATGAGAAAGTACATAAAATGAAAAATTTAAGTCACCTTTAGTCTTAGAACTTACGGTTAAAATTTGTCTTCTTATTTTTATTATTCCTTTTTTTTTTTATTGACCACTCACTTTATTTCCAGTCCTCTTTAACTCTGATCTTACCTTACATGCTGTCATCAATGGTAATGTAGGCCATACAACCTGAGTATTCCTGCTTTTTACCAGGACTTTATAGTCTAAAAATCAGTGTAAGACCCTGGGGTATAAATAGGAAATCTCTGGAGGGACACTGGCAACTTGTCCCACCTGTATAAATACTGCTGAATCCACTGAGGGCTTTCCACTAGTCTTTGATCAATGTGATTAAATCATTTTTTTGACAAAGAATTTTGCGAAACACGCTTGATGCTCAAAATATTAAGTTTGGTTCTGGGCTTTTTCTCCTGCCTGACTCACCAGGATATTTGTATTTAAGTAGCAGTGCTTCTCATGAGGGGTTAGAGGCTGTTTGGGTGCAGTGGCACAACCCTGTAGACCAGCTACTTGGGGCTGAGGTGGGAGTATCGCTGGAGGCCAGGTGTTCCAAGTGTGGCCTGGGCAACATGTTTCTGAAAAAAAAAAAAAACCTGAAAAGAAAGATACAGTACTTTGAGAAAGCCTCCTAGGTGATTTTGATGGATCCCATTCTCAAATTTCCTCATGTGAAAATGATAATGTAGGCCATATGTTATATTACTGGAGTAAAATATGCTTCCAGGGCTTGCCAGAGGAGCAGGGCTGGGATTATGGCGAGGCAGGTGTGGCACCCAGGGGCAAGTGCAGCCCTAAGAGCCCTGAGAATGCACCTGAGGCACCTCCCTGGCCGCCTCACCCCAATCCTGGCCCTGCAAAACAGGATCAGAAAAAGATCATGGAAAAGTACCAATGACGGATGAGCACTCTGCAGGACAGACTCTTCCCACTTCAGGAAATGGAGTGTAAAGTCATTGTTGGACTAAGATGGCTCCCAACTTAGTCAATGAGCAGATTTTGCCCTGGCCATAACCTAACCGAGAGCTGACTACACCACATTTATGGGGGGCCGGATTTCTGAGCCAACTGAGTCAAGAATCTCTCCTATGAGCAGCCTAGAAATTGCATGTAAAAAAATAAACGTGATGCCCAGCAGGGTTGGAAATCGCTTTTTCTAACCTGCTTTTGAACAGTGTTTTCTAATTTCCCTTAAAGACAGATGGGTAAGCGGTTGGATAGTGTTTAACAGAGTAAACTGCTTTTAGGTGAGATGATGTAGGAGTTAGCTTGCCTAGCTTGATGGCACTAGATAGAAAGGTAATTTTACTGTAAGAAGTTTGCCCGAGAAGTGTACATACGCATTATGTTTTGGATGTGTAGACTTTTTTTTTTGAAACAGTCTCACTCTGTTGCCCAGGCTACAGTGCCATGGCATCAGCCTAGCTCACAGCAACCTCAAACTCCTGAGCTCAAGTGATCCTCCTGCCTCAGCCTCCCAAGTAGCTGGGACTACTGGCATGTGCCACCATGCTCAGCTAATTTATTTATATATATATATATATATGCTAATTTTTTTCTAATTTTAGTAGAGACGGAGTCTTGCTCTTACTCAGGCTGGTCTGGAACTCCTGAGCTCAAACAATCCGCCTGCCTCAGCTTCTCAGAGTGTTAGGATTACAGGTGTGAGCCACCGCCCCTGGCCAATGTGTAGACATTTTGATATGGAAAAGAATTGGCATAACTATCCATGGCTGATTTTAACTCTTCAAATGTCTTTCCCTACAAGCTTGATGTCATTAAATATTATTGGGATTTTTTTTAAGTCTTTATTCACTTCAGAACATCAGTTTTTGCGAATTGATGATATAGTATCTACAAATCTCTGATTCAAAAGCACAGCAGTAATCTTATTTTAGAAAATATCAATAAAGGCCGGGTTCAGTGGCTCACACCTGTAATCCTAGCAACCTGGGAGGCCGAGGTGGGAAGATTACTTGAGCTCAGGAGTTCAAGACCAGCTTGAGCAAGAGTGAGACCCTGTCTCTCCTATAAATAGAAAGAAATTAGCCAAACAATTAAAAATAGAAAAAATTAGCCAGTCATGGTGGCACGTGTCTATAGTCCCAGCTACCCAGGAGGCTGAGGCAAGAGGATCGCTTGAGCCCAGGAGTTTCAGGCTGCTGTGAGCTAGGCTGATGCCATGGCACTCTAGCCACGGCAACAGAGTGAGACTCTGTCTCAAAAAAAAAAACGAAAAAGACGAAGATAGTATAAAAACTTTGAAAGCAAAACAATCCTTTCTAATTTAATGAAAAATTTGTTATTTTGTTTTCCGTGTGTGAGTTATATGCGATTTAAAAGTCCTCGTGGCTCCCAAGGTGAAGAGATGTGTGAGTTACATATGCTTCACGAGGCCCCTGATTCAAAACTAGCATGAGTTAAATACAACATGCATGGCAGATCATGTGTTAACTATGGTAATTATAGCAACCCTATATAATGTCTAGCAAATAATAAAAATAATATATTAAATAGTTTATTTAATAGTAATAATAAAAAATAGTAGTTTATATTCCCTAAAACATTGGAAAGGACCTAAGGCTAGGAAATACAGCCCAATCGCTACTTATTAAATAAGCAGGCTAAGTTTATTCAGTTTGTCCACTGTCAAATTGAGACATTGTGCCTATCAGTGTTTTGAAGGTTTGGGAAAGAGTCCATTGAAAAAGTGCTTAGAGGGCTGGGCGCTGTGGCTCACGCCTGTAATCCTAGCACTCTGGGAGGCCGAGGCGGGTGGATCGCTTGAGGTCAGGAGTTCGAAACCAGCCTGAGCAAGAGCAAGACCCTGTTTCTACTATAATAAATAGAAAGAAATTAATCGGCCAACTAACATATATATATAGAAAAAAATCAGTTGGGCATGGTGGTGTATGCCTGTAGTCCCAGCTGCTCGGGAGGCTGAGGTAGCAGGATTGCTTAAGCCCAGGAGTTTGAGGTTGCTGTGAGTTAGGCTGATACCACGGCATTCACTCTAGCCTGGGCAACAAAGCGAGACTGTCTCAAAAAAAAAAAAAAAGAGAAAAAGCACTGGAACCTTTATATAAATTAGTGAAGTGAACATAAGTAAGACTAAATGGAACAGTGGGAATAAGCATAGTTAAAGGAAAAAATGGAAGTGAGAAGCTAGAATTGAGAAGAATTAAGAGGAGAATGGAGACAGGTACAGAAGATAATTCATTTGCAGAAAGGATATTGTGATTGAACAAAAACCCTGGAAAAAGGACAACTTACCTCCTGGGACTTCTAAGTTTATTTTTTGCAGTTCAATTTAACTGGTGTGCACAGTTGTGTCAAAGTTGTGTCTTTTGTTTTTTATTAGGTATTCTATTACTCAACAGGAATCTTCAAGGACGCAGGTGTTGAGGAGCCAATCTATGCCACCATCGGTGCGGGTGTGGTTAACACTATCTTCACTGTAGTTTCTGTAAGTTGAATGGTTTGATAATTTGGGGATAGACAGAAAAGAAATCTTGCTACAGATGTTCAAAGATGTATTGCATATCCTTCAGCCTCCCTTTCATCCATCATCTAGGAACTTTTTTGTTATTGGGGGGAAGTACAGAAGATATTATACAGGATACTTTAAACTTCAAAGTAGGCAGGGCATGATGGCTCATGCTTGTAATCCTAGCACTCTGGGGGGGCCAAGGTGGGACGATTGCTTGAGTCAGGAGTTCCGAGACCATCCTAAGCAAGAGCGAGACCTTGTTTCTGCTAAAAATAGAAAAATTAGCTGGGCGTCACTGGTGCAGGCCTATAGTCTCAGCTACATGGGAGGCTGAGGCAGGAGGTTTGCTTGAGCCCAGGAATTGGAGGTTTCAGTGAGCTATGATGACACCACTGCACTGTAGCCCGGGCAAGAGAGTGAGACTCGCAGGGCGTGGTGGCTAACACCTGTAATCCTAGCACTCTGGGGAGGCCAAGGCGGACGGAATGCTCGAGGTCAGGAGTTTGAAACCAGCCTGAGCAAGAGTGAGACCTCTTTCTCTACTATAAACAGAAAGAAATTAATTGGCCAGCTAATATATATAGAAAAAAATTAGCCAGGCATGGTGGTGCATGCCTGTAGTCCCAGCTACTCGGGAGGCTGAGGCAGGAGGATCACTTGAGCCCAGGAGTCTGAGGTTGCTGTGAGCTAGGCTGACACCACAGCACTCACTCTAGCCTGGGCAACAAATCGAGACTCAAAAAAAAAAAAAAAAAAAAAAAAAAAGAATAAGACTCTGTCTCAAGAAAAAAACTTTGAATTGATGAAGAGAAGGTATGACTGTAACAAGTACCCTGCTATGGGTGAGGCAGATTTCAGGTAGCTTATATATACAGTATTTTCATGGAAGCGAAAACAGAAGTTTCATGTTATGTTATTCTTCTTCTAGCTGTTTCTGGTGGAAAGGGCAGGAAGAAGGACTCTACATATGATAGGCCTTGGCGGGATGGCTGTCTGTTCTCTCTTCATGACTATTTCTTTGTTATTAAAGGTGAGTGCTCTTTGAGTGAAGAAAAAGGAGGGAAGGAGGAAAAGAGAGAAGTTACAGTTGACTTTCTGTGACAGAGGGGATGGGTTGTTGACTTTGGAGATCATCAATACAGTCAAATTTGAGAGAATCAAGATACCCAGAACTTTTAAGAAAGGTTTATTGTCAGAGATAAACTATTATAATCCTTACATTCATATTGCATTATAGCTTGTAAAATTATCTAATTTGATTCTTAATATTGAGGTAATCCCGTTTTATAGATGATGAAGTGGTCTCAGTGCAAAATGACATGTGAGATGACATAGCTAGGATATAAAAGCCCAATCTAGGCTGGGCGTGGTGGCTCACGCCTGTAATCCTAGCACTCTGGGAGGCGGAGGCGGGTGGATTGTTCGAGGTCAGGAGTTCGAAACCACCTTGATCCGAGACCCCATCTCTACTAAAAATAGAAAGAAATTAATTGACCAACTCAAAATATATATACAAAAAATTAGCCAGGCATGGTGCGCATGCCTCTAGTCCTAGCTACTTGGGAGGCTGAGGCAGGAGGATCACTTGAGCCCAGGAGATTGAGGTTGCTGTGAGCTAGGCTGACGCCACGGCACTCACTCTAGCCTGGGTAACAAAGTGAGACTGTCCCAAAAAAAAAAAAAAGCCCAATCTAAGGACAGTAACTACATGGTACCACAGGGCAGAAGATATACTTGCCACTTGGTCAGCACTCTTCTCTAAGAAGTGGGTCCTAGGTCATGCTGTCCTTGATACTACTAACTTTCCTCTGTTCCTTCCTCTTACAGGATACGTATTCGTGGATGAGCTTTGTCTGTATTGGGGCTATCTTGGTCTTCGTGGCCTTCTTTGAAATTGGACCAGGCCCCATCCCGTGGTTTATTGTGGCTGAACTCTTCAGCCAGGGACCCCGCCCAGCTGCAATGGCAGTGGCTGGTTGTTCCAACTGGACCTCCAACTTTTTAGTTGGGATGCTCTTCCCATCTGCTGCAGTAAGTAAACTCAGCTTATCTTAAAACCACCCCATTTAAGCTAACATGTTTAAAATACACCTTAATAATACAGTAGTCCCTCATCTACAGATGCAGTTACCTGTGGTCCAAAAACATTAAACAATTCATAAGTTTTAAATTGTGCACTGTTCTCAGTAGCCTGATGAAATCTCCTCCATCCAGCCGGGGACTTGAATTACCCTTTGTCCAAAGGATTCACACAGTCTCCACTGCCTGTTAGTCACTTCAGTAGCTGTCTTGGTTATTAGACCATCTATCATGCTATTGCAGTGCTTGTGTTCAAGTCACCCTTATTTTACTTCACAATTGGCTCCAAAGTGCAAGAGTAGTGATGTTGGCAATTCACATATGCCAAAGAGAAGCCGTAAATGGCTTCCTTTAGGTGAAAAGGTGAAAGTTCACCACTTAATGAAAGAAAAAAAATCGTAGCTGAGGTCACTAAGGTCTATGGTAAGAACTAATCATCTGTCCATAAAATTATGAAGAAGAAAATTTGTGCTAGTTTTGCTATCACACCTCAAACTGCAAAAGTTATGGCCACAGTGTAAGATAGGTGCTTAGTTAGGATGGAAAAGGCTAGGCCAGGAGCCCTGTAATCCTAGCACTCTAGGAGGCCTAGGCGGGAGGATCACTCAAGGTCAGGAGTTCAAAGCCAGCCTGAGCAAGAATGAGACCGCATCTCTAAAGAAAGGAATTAATTGACCAACTAAAAATATATATAGAAAAAAATTAGCCGGGCATGGTGGCTCATGCCTGTAGTCCCAGCTACTTGGGAGGCTGAGGCAGGAGGATCCCTTGAGCCCAGGGGCGTGAGGTTGCTGTGAGCTAGGCTGACGCCACGGCACTCTAGCCTGGGTAACAGAGCGAGACTGTCTCAAAAAACAAAGAATTGGGCATAGTAAAAGATTAAAAGAATAGTTATAACAATATACTGTAATAAAGTTATGTGGATGTGGTGTCTCTCTCCTTCTCAGAATATCTTATTGTACTATATTCATCCTTCCTTTTCTTGTGATCTGTTGATCTGACAACCAGAATGGCTACTAAGTATCTAGCAGTTGAGTAGCATATACGGCATGGATACACTGGACAAAGGGAGAATTCATGTTCCAGGAGAGATGGCATAAGATTTCGTTATGTTACTCAGAATGACATGCAATTTAAAACTTATGAATTGTTTATTTCTGGAATTTTCTATTTAATATTTGTGGACTGCAGGTGACTGAAACTAGACTGTAAAACCACAGGTAAAGGGGGAACTACTGTAATTACTGATGCTGTGAGGGATTAGATATCAAGGGCTTTGAACCAGATTTTCTCCCTCATTTTTGATGTTATAGTTCATCAATTACCAGATTTTTATATCAACCTTCCTTTTTTCTATCCTTTCACTAGGTCTTTTTTGGAGCCTATGTTTTTATTATCTTCACTGGCTTCCTCGTTGTCTTCTTGATCTTCACCTACTTCAAAGTCCCTGAGACCCGTGGCAGGACTTTTGAGGATATTACACGGGCCTTTGAAGGGCAGGTTGCAGAAAGAGCTGCGAAAACCTCCAACATGGAAATGAACAGCATCCAGCCTTTTAAGGAGTCCCCCACCAATGTCTAAGGCATTCCTCCTTCCACCTCCCTCCCCACATGGAAAAGCAACCTCTCCCTGACTGAGGGAGAGACCTCATCGGATGAACCCAGGACTGCTTCTGACTGCTGCTACTTGACTCCTTTCTCGTCCCGTACACTCCATGGGCACTCAGATGAACACTCCACGAGCACTCCAAATGCTGGGGTTAGTTGGATTCTCAATGGCTTTGTAAATGTTTCATTTCTTGGACATTCTCTTCTGTTTAGGAGAGACCAGGTGAACCTACCTTCATTTCAGGAGGCATTGGCCGCTTGGCATATGACAACTTAGCCAGCTCTTCCTCCCTTAGGTTCTAATATTGCCCCACAAGGGCTTATGGGGAGGAAGAGTAAGGTGCAATTCCCCCAACCTCAGACTTACCAGGAAGCAGATGTACATACGAGTGTGGAAGGCAGAGGGGGATCAAATAAGAGCACCTTCCTTCCTCACTTCTGTACAGCTCTGCACAGCAAGTTAACTTGAGTTTTATTTATTTTACCTTCTGGTTTTATTGCATAAATATTTATTTTTCTAAGTGTAAAGTAATTTTACCAAATAATGAAAACATAAGGAAATTGAGGTTAGAGGGAGGTGTTTAAAGAGAGGTTACAAAGAAGATTCAATGCTAGAGAGGTTAAGGTGCAATAAGAAGGGAAGAATTGAGGGAAAACTTGTAGCTCGATATTAGGGGCATGTGATGTGGTGCCTGAGTTTTGTATGTTGCCCCTTAACAATTTCTGTTCTTCAAATGGGAACTCTTTTTTAAGTTTAATTTCTCAGAAAAGTCGTGTGCCTGTATTAAAAAAAAGCTACTAATTTCCTTTGGAAATTTTTTCTTTAAGATTATAGTTTATACGTAGTATTACTTGAAATGTAGGATTAACTAAGATGGGCATTGTAGTTATTGGCGGTTGAGTTCTAATTTTGAATGGAGTCCAGAAAAGGGAAAGTTTGTTTCTCCCCACACTGGACCAAGCAACTCCTTCCCCTTGTTGTAGACTCATATATTTTTTAAGTGATCCCGCCACTCATCTGGTGGGAGAGCACTTCAAATGGGAAACTTTAATTCTTGGTAGAGGTTCAGTATTTCTCCATTTTGTTCTTTAGAGATTTTAGGTGTTTTTCTTTTGTTTTAATCTGTAGTTTAAAAGGAATTCAGAGGCAAATGTGATAGCTAACTTAGAATTTGTAACCTCAGCTCTGGAAGAGGATTTCTCCTGAACGATTATTATCTAGTTTAAATATGTTTTTGCTTTAGGGTTATGGCATGCTTGTCTGTCTGTTACCATGTTACTGTGGTACTATGTCAAGTACCCTTTGGGGACTTGAATCTTTCCAACAGAACACAGTGAAATAGTATGAGTCAATGTGCAGTGTAGCCCACACTTGAGAGTATGAATGTATGTGCACTGTCACTTTGCTCTGAGTGGAAGTAGTTTGTTGGTAATTTGTTTCCTCTGATCTTATAGCCTCCTTTTGAACAGAGTATATTAAACTCACCCCCTCATCCCTAGGTATTTAAATAACACTGCCTCTGCTGGGTGGAATTTGTATCCAGAACTTCAGAATTCAGAAGCATCTGGCTGCCTTTCCAGGCAATGAGGGAAGAACTAACTAAAATATTGAGGTTGAGAGTGGAGGGCTCAGCCTCACGCCAGATTCAGACAATGTGAATAGGAAAGTGAACTCAGGGCGTTGGCCTCTTAAGGGACCTGGAGAGGGACTTTGGGAGAGTGGGAGGCATTCTTTTAAGGGGATAAGAAACAAATAGAAGGTTTGCTTCTACCTCTGGAGCTTTTCAAAGGGTTAGAGGAGATGCAGGGGTTTCCTCCTGCCATAGGTCATGGACAACTCTATTTTCATCTCTGAGTTCTGCAGTATTTTTATAAATGGAGATGGACCCTGATGACCCTCCCCCTCTCTTCCGTTTTTCATAAGTTGTTTGAGCTCCCTTTCCCTCCTTGGTGCTTATAGTTCAGACCCTTTAGCCAAACCCTTGTGAACAACAGTATTTTTAGTCTTCAGTTCTCGCCATTCCCTCTGGTCATTGAGCCTTTGGATAAAACCTCATGTAGCTATGGAGCACGGTTTTGTTGGAAAAGATGACTTTCCTCTCACTGCATCTCTACTGACTCCTCCACTGGTGGGTTGGCAGTAAGGCAGGGTGGAAGTTTTCTCATTTCTCTGTGACCAGATTGTGAATATTTCTATATGGATTTTCTATTATTAATGTTACTGTAGTTCTCTGTTTAAAAATAAAAATTCTGAATGTACATAAGACATCATAGGTGCATTATTTATTTTCTGTCCTTCCTGTAACAACAAAATCAGCTTTAAATCAGTACCTGTTGTGACCTGGAGCCTGAAGCAAGCAAGTTTCTTAGAGTCTCATACACAGAAAAGTAGCAGCAATATGTGTTTTTTGGTTTTTGAGACAGTATCTCACTCTGTTGCCCTGGCTAGAGTGCCATGGCATCGGCCTAGCTCACAGCAACCTCAAACTCCTGGGCTCAAGCAATCCTCCTGCCTCAGCCTCCCGAGTAGCCGGCACTACAGGCATGTGCCACCATGCCAGGCAAATTTTATATATATATATTAGTTGGCCAATTAATTTCTATTTATAGTAGAGACAGGGTTTCCCTCTTGCACAGGCTGGTTTTGAACTCCTGACCTCGAGCAATCATCCCACCTCTGCCTCCCATAGTGCTAGGATTACAGGCCTGAGCCACCACGCCTGGCCATTCAGTAACAAATGTGTCTTTTTGAGCCCTGCAGCGGCATGGCTGATTTGTGGGTCCCGCCCCACCCCACTCCCTCGGGTACCAGGCCCCAGCCCTGGAGAGCAGGCCGCCCAGACCCGCCCCAACCCTGCAGGCCTGCCTGGCAGCGCTGGGCCTCCCGAGTCCCTTCGCGCTGGCTGCGGAAACCTGTTGTTCTTACTCCATTTCGCTCATGAACATTAAACCCATTCTTTGCTGTAACCCAGGATATGCCTGGAGGCCAGCAAACCTTCAAATGCAGGTAAGTGACTTTAACTGCCCTTTCTGGATTGCTCTAGATTTTGTGACTTCATTGATAGGATTTAGATTTCAGATATAAAATTTAATATCCATGTTTTTTTTTTTTTTGAGAGTCTCTTTTTTTTTTTTATTTGAGACAGCGTCTCGCTTTGTTGCCAGGCTAGAGTGAGTGCCATGGCGTCAGCCTAGCTCACAGCAACCTTAAACTTCTGCACTTAAGCAATCCTCCTGCCTCAGCCTCCCCAGTAGCTGGGACTACAGGAAGGCGGCACCATGCCCGGCTAATTTTTTGTATATATATTTTTAGTTGGTCAATTAATTTATTTCTATTTTTGGTAGAGACGGGGTCTCGCTCAGGCTGGTTTCGAACTCCTGACCTTGAGCGATCAGCCCGCCTCGGCCTCCCAAAGTGCTAGGATTACAGGCGTGAGCCACCACGCCCGGCTCAGATTAGATTTTTACTATGTATCTTTAGCCTGTTACATCTAAAACATAAGGATGGAGCAAGATTGGAAATAAGGCTGAAATTAGGTGAAGACTTCTTACTATTAAAAGAAAACAAAGGCTGAAAAAAGGTAGACAAATATAGGGTGGGTGTGGTGGCTCATGCCGGTAATCCTAGCACTCTGGGAGGCTGAGGTGGGAGGTTCCTTTGAGCTCAGGAGTTTGAGTCCAGCCTGAGCAAGAGTGAGACCCCGTCTCTACTGAAAAATAGAAAAAATTAGCCGGGCATGGTGCCGCCTTCCTGTAGTCCCAGCTACTGGGGAGGCTGAGGCAGGAGGATCGCTTGAGCCCAGGAGTTTGAGGTTGGTGTGAGCTAGGCTGACGCCACAGCACCCACTCTAGCCTGGGCAACAAAGCGAGACTCTGTCTCAGAAAAAAATAAAAGATAGGCAAGTACTAACCAAGAGAAAGCTGGTCATCCATATGGATGGGTCTCAAACTGCAATTACTAAGGCAAAAAGCATGACTGAAACAAAAAGGGTATCTTCATAATGATAACATATTTAATTCACCGTGAGTATATTTTACTCATATAGATAATATAACAATTCTAAATTTGTATATATTTAATAGCAAAGTATTAAAAAATAAAAAGCAAAAATAGAAGTCAAGGAGAAATGGCCACTCTACCATTACAAATTTTCACAAACCTCTTTCAACACATAATAGATCAAGCAGACAAAAAGAAGAAAGAAAATCAGTAATTAACAACTGTAATATAATGGGTATATATCTAGAACATTGTATCCAACATTTGGAAAAATACACTTTTTTTTACTTTTGGCTGGTCAAGTGAGGCAGTGGGAGTGGAGAAAGAACAAATAAGTCTGTAACTGGTTGTGACCAATTAGTCGTAAACACCACTGCAGTTGGACTAGCCCACATTCTTTCCAAGCACACATGGAACATTAGTACAATTAACTGTGTGCAAAGCCATAAATCTAGTCTCAACAAATTCCAAAGGAACAATACATTAAACACCTGAACGCAACGCAATTATGTTAGGATATTAGTAATGATAAAAAGCAAAAGCTGGCCGGGCGAGCTGGCTCACGCCTGTAATCCTAGCACTCTGGGAGGCCGAGGCGGGAGGATGGCTCAAGGTCAGGAGTTCAAAACCAGCCTGAGCAAGAGCGAGACCCTAGCTCTACTAAAAATAGAAAGAAATCAATTGGCCAACTAACATATATAGAAAAAATTAGCCGGGCATGGTGGCGCATGCCTGTGGTCCCAGCTACTCGGGAGGCTGAGGCAGGAGGATTGCTTGAGCCCAGGAGTTTGAGGTTGCTGTGAGCTAGGCTGATGCCATGGCACTCACTCTAGCCTGGGCAACAAAGTGAGACTCTGTTTCAAAAAAAAAAAAGAAAAAGAAAAAAGAAACGGGGTCTCGCTCTTGCTGGGGCTGGTCTTCAACTCCTGAGTTCAAGTGATCCTCCCACCTCGGCCTCCCAGAGTTCTAGGATTAAATGTGTGAGCCACCGGGCCGGCCCCATTAGTGATCTTGACAGGAACAGTTTTGGCAGAGCAGTGTGGTTGAAAACCTGGTCATTATGGGTTCCAAACAGAATGAGAGAATATCAGAGAAAATACGCTTTAAGAAAAGAAGTATTAAAAGAGAACAACAGGATGATAAAATAATCTTTTTTTTAATTTCAGCATATTATGGCGGTACAAATGTTTAGGTTATGTGTGTTGCCTTGTCCCCCCTTCCCCCCTAGAGTCAGAACTTCAAGTGTGTTCGTCCCCCAGATAGTGCCTCCCAAATAGCTGGGATTGTAGGTGCACACCATTGCCCCCCCAGCTCAAAACTTAGCTCTTTGAAAAGATCAATAAAATTGATAACTACTAAGAAGACTGACCTAGAAACAAAGAGAGAAAATACATTTGCCAATATCAGAAATAAAAATGTCTGGGAGGCCGAGGCGGGCGGATTGCTCAAGGTCAGGAGTTCAAAACCAGCCTGAGCAAGAGCGAGACCCTGTCTCTACTTTAAAAAAATAGAAATTAATTGGCCAACTAAAATATATATAAAAAAATTAGCCGGGCATGGTGGCGCATGCCTGTAGTCCCAGCTACTCCAGAGGCTGAGGCAGGAGGATTGCTTGAGCCCAAGAATTCGAGGCTGCAGTAGGCTGCAGTGAGCTGTCATAGTGGAGCACACTGCACTCCAACCTGGGCAGCAGAGCCAGACCTGATTTCTAAAAAAAAAAATTTTTGGAAGGCACTGTTAATAAAAGACCATGAGATCCATGGAAGAAGGAAGCTGTCCATGTGCAAAAATCTCTCAAACATTTGTCTAAAACAAAAATTTAACCTCCTAGGCTTCATTACTCATGCCTGTAATCCTAGCACTTTGAGAGACCAAGGCAGGGGATTGCTTGAGGCCAGGAGTTCAAGACCAGCCTGGGCAACACAGCAAGGCCCCATCTCAGTAAAAAAATTTAAAACATTAGCCAAGAGCAGTTATTGCTCATACCTATAATCCCAGCTATTGCAGAGAATGAGTAGGAGGATTGTTTAAACCCTAGAGGTCCAGCCTGGATGACCGAGTGAGACCCTATAAACAAAAAATTTTTCGCGTTGTTTCAAGCAGTAAAGCAGAGGTTGACAGTCCTAAATTCCTGGTCAATTAAGTGATTCTCTAACCAGCAAAATGGTGTTCTAATGTCAACTGATTAATGTTTTCTTTTTACTTTCTTTGGGCTTAATTTACTGTTCTCATAACTTCTTGAGATCAAAGTCTCAACCTTTTGTCTTTTCTGATACATGTATATTTAACCACTCCGGTACGAGCGTCAGCTATAGTTGATAGCCACAGATGAACGCGCACAGCCGGGCGTCCACTTTAGTCTATAATTTTGAATTGACTTTTCTAATTTTTCAGTTATCAAAATAAAATTGTGAACATTTAAAAATAACGTAGTGAAAACACATGTGTATGTGTTACCTATTCTGGTTTACATTACAAGTAAAGCTGCCTGTAAAGTAAAACAAGCTTTCAGGGCTTTCAAGCTGTCCCCGTCACACAAGAGCAAAACGGAGTGGCCGTCAGTGCACAGCACAGACCACCGTGCGACTGTGAGTGC